CTTCTCTTTTATCAAATTTAAACCAAAAAAAAAATGAAGAAGAGAAAGTTAAACCAGACGTGTATAAGTTAGCAACAATCACCAGTCGTCGTCCTTCACGTCGCATTTTAGTACATGTCTGTTTTTCATTTTTGATTCCCGTCTTTTCACTCGTTTTCATGTTCTTTACGTCTTGGTTACATTCGAGAAAAGAAGGGGAAAGTCGCCATTGTCGTGGCATTCCGAAATTCAAAGCTAATAGCGAATGCACTCATCTCATTCCTATCTTACGAGTATATTTATTAATTCTTTAAACGACGTATCGTTTTCGTATTATTTATATATTACACCAACGCTTTTCTATCTTTAAGTTCTGTACTTTGTGACACGTACAATACATATGTTTCCTTCCTACTTTTGTTCTTGAATCTGTTTCCTTCTTTTAATGCTAAACATGGTGAGTTCTGTACGATTTGATTTTGCAGAAAACGCTGCCGTGTTTTGAGCTAAATTCACCTCTGTTCATTTATCATTTTGATTTTTGTTTCTGCTCTTTCTGTATTGCTTGATCCTGCTCTTTCTGTATTGCTTGATCCTGCTGAAACGACAACGTTTCCATTAGCTTTGTTCGGTCGTTGCTGAAAAGACAAAGTCTCCAATGAAATTTGTTCGTTTATGTTACTCTGTACAAAGACTGGAGCTAAGCAATATGATTTAATTTCTGATTCTCTGTAACTTTTCTTTTGATCTCTCAATTGTCGATGCTCACGATTAAATAATAACATTGGACGAGTTAATTTATAATTGCTCTTTGAACTTTTTTTTTTGCAGTTAACATCAGAGAATTTTGTGTTAAGTTCTGGGGAGATTGTTTATAGTAACGTCGAAATGCGGGGACGACACGCTGATTCTTATTCCATGTACAAGCGTGGTAGCAGAGACCACATTATCAATGCCTATGACTATGACAAAGAACAAGGTTCACGGATTCTTCAATTTTTCTTTATAACGTATAAGAAAAAAACGTTTTTGATCAATTTCCCTTATGTAGTGAATTTATTGAGCACGAGCTTTTACTATTAATTCTGGAGCTGCAAGTTAATAAAAATGGCTAGTTATCATGAAGCAAGTTAATAAAAAAGGCAAGTTGCATGAAGTTCAAAGTTTTTTGTTCTGCTTTCTTATGTTATTAAGTTTTTAGTGTCATTTCTATCTCCATGCTTTTGATGTTTTTGGAATGGCTTCAAGTCCCCCATTTTAGTTGTCTTTATTAGTTTCAGTAAGTGCTGACAATTTTCTACTTTATTATGTGGACTTTTAAGTACGATTACAGAATGGAGTGGGCAAAGATATTGGAAACCCTCCCTGGAAGCGATCATTCCCGTATATACTCCTGGCAACCTTATCTTCCTTCTTATTTGGTTACCATCTTGGGTATGCTCAGTTTTTGATTTTTTTTTCTCGTTAAATCTGGAAATTCTGCAGACGTTGTATAGTTAATGCTTGCTACTGTTGATGCAGAGTAGTTAATGAAACGCTAGAAAGTATTTCACATGACCTTGGCTTTCATGGGGATATCATGGCTGAAGGTACTGGAGCAATGAACTTGTAGCTCGTCTTGTTTGAAAAATCACTCTAATGAGTAATGTGTTTTCTTTTTGTTGAAACGAAGGCCTGGTTGTAAGTACATGTTTAGGGGGTGCCTTTGTGGGATCGTTGTTCAGTGGTTTGATTGCAGATGGGGTTGGGCGTCGCAGGGCGTTCCAGCTGTGTGCTTTACCTATGATAATTGGATCTTCTATGAGGTAATTGCAATATTAATTCCTAGCTTCTTTTGGCTTTGAATTTATCTCAAATAGGCAATCCATTATGCTCCATATGGACGTCTTGGAGGGTTTGTTCTGAATTTTATTTTTTTGGATTTTAGTTCAGCTAAAATTCATTAGGCAAAATTTCAGTTTAACTGATAAATTTATAGTTAATTTCCTGAGCCATTTTGTTGAGAGATACTGAGTCACTCCTACCTTTTTCTTTTGGTTCCCATAAAACAAATTAAATTATATAGAATAAGTTAGGAGTTTTTTGGCATCTTGCTTTGTAATCTTTGAATAATTATAATTGTGTCTTCATTTCACTTTGTATAATTCTTGCAGTGCAACGGCAAAAAGCTTTTGGGTCATGCTTCTAGGGAGGTTATTTGTCGGGACTGGAATGGGTATTGGCCCTCCTGTTTCAGCTCTTTATATTGCAGAGGTATTAATGTACCATTTTTCTGTTATATTGTAAGGCTTCTTCTCTTCTTTCCTTTTTTTTTACAAATAGTAATGTGACCCATGAGGCCATGACCAGGTTTCTCCAGCTTATATAAGAGGTACATATGGATGCTGCAGTCAAATGCTACATGTTTAGGATTGATAGGTGCTCTATATATGGGATTCCCTGCTAAGGAAACCGAGGGTTGGTAAGAAATGATGAGTGAATTAGAAGTAGCCGTAGCAATGAAGATGATGATCAACAAAAAACTTGTTTTAATATGTGATTTATTGTTATTTGAAGCAAATCAATTTTTAGGATGGCACTACAAGATGATGTGCTTGGTTCCCCATTCTCGTTTTCAAAAGAAAAAAGTCATCTGAAGAACATACTTTGACAATGCTTTTCTGACACATAGGTTGATAACATAATTCATAACTTGATGATATGCACAGGTGGCGCATATGTTTTTGGGCATCTGTTGCTCCCGCTGCTATACTTGTTCTTTTTATGGAATTTTCCGTAGAAAGTCCCCATTGGTTTTTCAAGGTTGTCTGCTCTACTTTCATACTCACTAACAATAATTGTAGGTTCCCGCTTTGCATGATCAACATCCTTTAACTTCATCTTGCGATAAAAGAACTTGGATCCAGCTAGAGATGTAATGATATTTTGAAAAAATGGTCCATATTATGTTCACATTTTATATTGTTATATTCTTTGGAACTGCAAATAGTTAGCTTTACATATATCAATGTATACCACTATCACTTAAAATAACTTCGATTTCAGTTGTAGTTAGATTTAAGGATCTGAATATAAAGCCATTGTACGGATGCATCTTTCTGAAAAATTATTCAACTGAACAAAAATTTGATAGTGTGTGAGTGTACATTTTGACTAGGTAGTCAAGTAAGATATTGGAAGTGACTATGATGCGGTTGCTCTAGGTGTTGAGAAAGGATAGCAGACGCATTTTATTATTTTAAAAGACCCGTGGAGCCCGAAACTTTGATTGATGGACCAAAGGAGAATCTATAATATACTAAAAGAAAAGCTAGTTTCATTTCTGAGCTATGGGTGCTACTATATCCTGAAATCATTGCTTCATACTACGGGTGAATTTCAACCTCTATATATTAAGGAAAATGAAAAAAGACGAATGATATGATCAATTCTCATCGTTTATCTTCAAGTTGCTTTTTCGCTGTGTCGGTAGCCTCTCATAAGCTTTATAAACTTGCTTCAGTGAGGACGGGGTGCTGATGCTGAAATTGTATTTGAGAAACTTCTGGGAGGACCACATGTCAAAGTTGCAATGGCTGAATTGTCAAAGTCAGAAAGGGGGGACGAGTCAGATACAGTCAAGCTCTCCAAGCTACTTTGTGGCCGTCATGGTAAAGGTAAACTCTGAACATGCGAATAATTTTCGGTAAGATTTTAAGTTAGTATACTTTTCTTATTAACTTCTTCCTTTGCAGTTGTTTTCATTGGATCTCTTCTTTTTGCTTTTCAACAACTATCTGGCATAAATGCTGTTTTCTATTTCTCCTCGTCTGTCTTTAAAAGTGCCGGTGTACCCTCACAGTCCGCAAACACATGTGTGGGAATTGCCAATTTGTTAGGTATAAGTGGCTACTTCACCATGTATCTAATTTATGCATCGTGGAATATTTTTTAAAATTTGCTGCTTATACGTCTTCAGGGTCACTTTTTGCATTGCTTTCAATGGATAAACTGGGAAGGAAGGCTCTTCTCATTGCAAGTTTTTCAGGAATGGTAAAGAGAAAAGATTTGGCTTGACGTTTACTGTTTAGTGCCCTCTAGCAGCATATATAAGATATCAGAATTCCTAACATAACTTAATATCTGTAGCTGTTTGTGGCATTTATAATTTGGCACTAAATGTTGAATTCTATTAGAGAAAGCATGAGCATTATTGGACTTTGTTGTACCAATAAAATTTGTGGCCTTTTTTTTACAATTTATAAGAGTTATGGTACATATATTCTGCTTATTATATTTGAACATACCAATTTGTATTATGTTCAATAATTTATTTGATTTTTGCTTCATGCTTCTGTGTTTCAGGCAGTAGCAATGGGTATTCAGGCAATTTCAGCTAGTTCCTTAATTGCGAGTAGCAATGTAATTTATATCTCTGTTGGAGGCATGCTGTTGTAAGTTGTTAATCCTTTGAACATCTAAATGTTCCTTTCTAGAGTGGGATACGCTTATTAAACCCCTGAAGCTTAGTGTCACTTTGGATGTAAAAATTTCTTTTTCATGATGGATATCTAACCACTAAATGCATTAGAATGGATGTCTATGGTGACCTTATTACACGCTTTCACGAAGGCTATTCAAAGGAAACATTTATATTCAGCAACATCATTTTGTGGCGTGGCTGCTTCTTAACACAAACTTGATGGTGTGAGAATGCAGATTTGTCTGCACCTATGCTATGGGTGCTGGACCAGTGCCTGGTCTTCTCCTATCAGAAATGTTCCCCAGTCGGATTAGAGCCAAGGCGATGTCAGTTTGCATGGCTGTCCACTGGGTAAACAGTTCTTACTCTTTAAAAATCTTGTCGTTTGACGTTTTTTTTTACTTAAATGCCAATAATATCGCACAATCTTTTCAAATGCATTTCATATTAATATGTATGGTGAACAGGCACGTGACTCTTTGGTTTTTGTCTTGTGTTTCTCCTTTTTCCTGATTTTTAGAACCACCAGTTACTGTCTTTGGTGTTTGTAACAGATGTTTAATTTCTTGGTCGGCCTGTTGTTTTTACGATTACTGGAGCTGCTTGGACCATTCCTCTTGAATACAATTTTTGCCACCTTTTGTTCGCTGGCAGTTATATTTGTAAAGAAAAATGTACTGGAAACTAAAGGCAAAACACTTCAAGAGATTGAAGTTGCACTTCTTCCACCAGGTATGTCAGTTTCTTCTCATTTTCAGAACCGGGTGAACAGAGTAAGTTAAGTTAGATATAGCTAATTGAACTCAATTATAAATTAGTTTTGTATTATGCTGTTACGATTTTTTATTTTTCTTGAAGTATCCATGTTCAACACCAGTACAATTACAGTGAACTAAGTTGAAAACATGTGAATGTAGACGTTCTAAAATATTTAATGGTTTAACAGGAGAACTTTTACTACTAGATTCTGTCAAAGTCCACAACTGAATTGGGGAGTTGCTGAATATCAAAGTTGTTAGTTGCAGTCGTTTCTTTTGCATCAAACTTATTTCTGAATACAAATCCATCATAGATGAAGTAATGGAATGAGACATGTTCACCAGGTGATCACTCCCCAAAGCCCAATGTATTCTTTGTCGTTTATTCTTGTTGAATACTTGGTGAGCACATTTTCCTGTTCCTGCTTGAATTTTCGATGTAGTATTATTTATACGAACACACTACACACTGGTTTTCACTTCGAGGGTTTTCACTTCGAGTGTTTTGTACTTTTGAATTTCAATGCAAGTTTAATCCATGATAGAACCTCACTTTCTTGAGTTTTTGAGTACTTTGATGTTTTGTTAATTCTCAATGTAAATTAATTCATGAGCTGCTGAGGTTGGCAATGAATTATGAGAAATAAACTTGAAATTTAGTCTATTAATGGACTGCAAAAGATCATTTTATTTTATGAATTGTTAAAAGTTCGAAGAGAAAGACACAGCTTAAACCCCCGCTCAAAACTCCTTTGATAAGCCAAACCTCTTGTCCAAATCGCAAGCACCAAAATTGAGCATCAGTCGCTGAGTTTACAATCCTATAAGGTATTTCCTGATGTTCATTTCTTCTTCTTCTTACTATATTATATGCTTTCATTGTCTAGTTTGGGTGACTCTGAAAATAAATAAAAAAATGGAAAACAAAACTGAGAAAAGCTTTAGAAATTTAATTGATGAAAATATCAAAGACAAAGGAACCCAAGTGCTCGATTCTATCTAAGAGAGGGAAAAACATATATTTTGATTTCTGACTATTAACTTCAGTTGAACAAGATCTGTATATTTATACTTAATCGACCTTTTTCAAGTAATTTATTTTGAGGGGTTTCTGACTTTGGGTTTTAACTGAATCATTCGATTGTAAGAAAACGCTTAAGAAAAATGGTGTCTATCTGCTATGCTTTCTTTTTCTTCATTTTCCTCGAGTGAAGTGTTCGATAAAATGCTTCACTGACGAAAAAGAAAGCCCAGCAAATTGTAATGCTGGTGATGTTTCCATTTTGTGCGTGATTTTGGTAGTTTGTTTGAGACTGCAGTGATCTATTTTGAGAATGGAGAACAAAGATGATGAAGTGAAGAAAGCACAAGTTGTGGAAGCCAGGGCAAGAAATATCAGCCACAATGTGCGACGTGCAGAATGTGGGAGTCAGTCCATTGAAGATTCACAAGCAGATATAGCTAAGGGTGTTTAGATCCGATCCGATTTAAAAAAATAATCAAAAACCGATCCAAAAAATCGATAACCGAAAAAAACCGTAACCGATTTAGTGTGTTTGGTTTTTTTTCCACAAAACCGATCGGTTCAGTTTCGGAAATCCGAAACCGATCCAAACCAAACCAAACCGATATCTATTAAAATGATTTTTCCATATTTCTTGTCTAGAGAATCTGACAAATATAAGGATTATGAAACACTTTCAGGATTTTGCTGTAGTCTACTTGGTCAGGCTTCTCAACTCTCACCCGAGAGATCTGGGTTCAAGATCTGGCAATGGAATGCTTTTTTTTTAATAACTATTGATGATAGTATGCTGTAGCGTTGGATTCAACCATGCTTGTATGGATGTGGAGGGGGAAGCTTGAATGAATGATTCATTGAACACGCTAGCCGTACTAAAACCCTCGTTACTTTTTTAATTTTCCTCTAATTTACAACCTCTTCAAGATAGAGAAAACTAAAGCCATTTATAAGCAGAAGACAAAGGCAGAGGCAGAGGAAAAGAAGAATTGGAGAATGGAGAGTTCACTGAATTATATTAATCGACAAACTGGTCTATGTAAACATTTCATTTCTAAACATTTTAATGGAAATATGATTCTCAAGTATTGTGTTTTTCCCGTACATTGTTTGTTTATCAATATTTTTTTAGAAACATCCAAATCGATCCAAACCGAATCAAACCGCACTTAATTAGATCGGATCGAATCAGATTTTTTTTTTTACAAAAATCCAAACCGTAAACATTTATACTTTCGGATCAGATGAATTTTTAGTCAAAAACTGATCCAAACTGACCACGAACACCCCTAGATATAGCAATCCTCCTTAGAAAAGTACACAATTTTATTCTCTAGCAAATGGTTTTGTAAAAATCCAAGTTATTTGTGTAACCCCCTAGACCCAGCCTATGCGTTTCGACTAAGTCTAGTGGCTCACATTATGATTCTTTAAGACATTTTTCCGAAACCGTTATTCAATCAATGTAAAATCGCATTATAAATGACATGAAGTTATAATAAATCATACTATCAAAACCTAACTTGTAAATATAATACCAATAAGTAATAATTTAATTTAAAACATATCTTAAAAATCAAATCACGATAAACCGAATAGTAATAGCAAAAGTGTCATCATATTAAAATACCATACTTTAAAATAAGGTCCATGTTAACAAAATAAAGACAACTTGCAAGGTAAAAACATTACAATCAAATATACTTCAAGAGATATGTTGATCCTCCAAGTGCTCAATCCAGGGTAACTAACCAACAGTATCTGAAAGGGGGAAAACATTTTCGAAAAGTGAGCTAGGCTCAGTGTGTCCCAACATTACCATAAAATTTCAATAGGTACACTAAACAAATCATAGTCCATTAAGTCCCATAAAATTATACTGCAGTAAATCTCTTTAAAAAGCGTTACCCTAAGGGAACATCTTAGGGCCTGAGAGCCTACCCAAGATAGATTTCGGGGCCGTGGGGCCTACCTAAGAACACATCTTAGGGCCGCAGGGCCTACCCGAGAATGATCTCAGGGCCGCAGAGCCTACCTAAGAGTCACATTAGGTCCGTAAAATTTTCCAGCTTGATCAGAGCTGTACTTTATAAATTCGTATTCCAAAAATTTAATTGCACCGTGTTATAAATTCCATAAATCCATAAACATGGTAATCATATACCATTTCAAAACAAATATCAGATAACAGTCATAATCCATAAATCATCACATTAAATCGGTGCATCAACAATACGGAAACCAAAGAATTCAGTGTACCACATATTAAAACAAATAAAACAGTTCAGTAATAAATAGGGAACACACCTCGATAATATGTTCAAATCGTGGATCTACTGATTGCTGGTTTCACCACGCTTTGCTACAGTTTTCGAACCTAATTTATAATATCACTATATTACTAATGGGTAACATAAATAAATCTCTAAAATCATAAAATTTACGATTCTTACGAGTGAATACTGGTATACGTGGTTTAACTGATCTAGAAGAGTTGGGTCGAGCTATCGAATGATCCGGAGAGTCTCTTGTACCTTCAAACAATAATAATTAATCAGCCCCAAATCTTACTTAATTGTTCAAAGCTAGAATTCTTAAGTATATAAGCATTTTTCGGGTTTGACTATCATTTTGGGGTATTTCGAGTCTGAATTTGGCCAAACGGATTGCGGAATCGGAATCAGGACGTCGAAAAACATAAAGTATGACTTTCCGAAAATTCAGATTCTTGGTCAAAGTCAACCACTTTGACCGTAGATTTGGAGACCTTCGGATTCGAATTTGACAAAACAGACCACGGAAACGGATTTGGCACGTCGAAAACTATCAGGATAGGTATACTCGGAAAAGATTAACGGTCGTTTAATGCTCGGTCAAAGCCATTTTAAGTTTTGGTCAAAGAAAGTCAACGGTCAACGGTCGAGTCGGGTCGGGTCAACGGTCGGGTCGGGTCAACGGTCGGGTCGGGTCGGACCGGTCAAACCGGCTCAGACCAGTCAAACCAATTCAGACCGGTCAAACCGGTTCGAACCGGTTGAAACCGGTCAAACCGGTCAGAACCGGTTGAAAACCGGTTAAACCGGTTTCCAGCAGCCACTCGCCCTGCGGCGGCGCGTGTGGCGCGTGAGACGTCCTCCGGGGCCCTAAAAATCCCGGAAAAATTTCTAAAAATTATTTTGAGCGATTTCAAGATACTTACAACGATCGGTTCAAATTTTTGAACGGCGGAGAGCTCGATTTCAAATCGGCCGAATCTTTGACTGCACCACCTCCTCACGCGCCGCCGTCTAGGCGGACAAGGTTGACACCGGTGAACTCGGAACGGCACAAGGAACACGATGGTGCGGGAGGTGTCGTAAACAGAGCAACGATCAGCGGTGAATTTAAGATTTTCTCGGCGATAGAGCTAACAAAACCGTCGCTACTTTGACTGGAAATTCCCGACGTTTGGCCGCGTTTCGCTTCAATTAATTTGAAGGTTTTGCTCCTCGCTCGATGATGAACACAACGGTGGTTTCAAAACAACGATCGGAATTCGGACGGCGTCGGAATCGAGTTTGGAAGTTGTGTGCGTGAGGAAGGATTTGTGAAATTGATTTCTGTTTTTCAAAACAGAAATCACGCATATATCAATTGTCTGCCGACACTCCATGGTTAAATTCAGGGCTTGGTCCCTGAATTTTCTTTAACTTTAAAACAAGCTCAACGTTTTAAAATCTTTCAATTCAGTCCCAAATTTTCACAATTAAACCCTCAAATTTTAATTAAATATTATTTTGAAAATCGGGTTGTTACAATTCTCCCCCTCTACAAGAAATTTCGTCCTCGAAATTTACCTTATGAGAATAGTTGAGGAAACTGAGCCTCCATTGACTCCAATGTCTCCCAAGTAGCTTCTGAGGGGCCTCGATTCCTCCACTGAACTTTGACCATTGGAATTCGTCTATTCCGAAGAACTCGTTCATCTCTCTCCAAGATCTGAATGGGCTCCTCTTCATATGACAAATCAGGTCTCAGCTCTACTTCTTCAACCTGAATAATGTGACCTGGATCTGGACGGTATCTCTCCTCAACATTGATACATGAAAGACATCATGAATACGACTTAGCTCAGAAGGCAACTCAAGCTGATATGCAACAGGTCCTACCCTCTTCAAGATACGAAATGGTCCAATAAATCTTGGACTCAATTTACCCTTACGCCCGAATCTTAATACTTTCTTCCAGGGTGAAACTTTCAAAAAGACCCGATCTCCCACTTCAAACTGTATATCCTTCCTTCTTTGATCTGCATAAGATTTCTGCCTATCAAATGCCTCTTTCAGACGGTCACGGATTAATCTGACTGTGTCCTCCGTCTCTCGCACTAACTCAGGTCCCAAAGTTTTCTTATCACGCAACTCAGTCCAACAGATCGGAGTGCGACATTTACGCCCATAGAGTGCTTCATAGGGTGCCATACGAATACTGGTCTGATAACTGTTATTGTAAGCAAATTCAGCCAACGGCAAAAAGTTCTCCCAACTACCATGAAAATCGATTACGCAACCCCGCAACATATCCTCCAGAATCTGAATTACTCTCTCAGATTGACCATCAGTTTGTGGATGAAAGGATGTACTATAATCCAATCTTGTTCCCAAAGCCGTATGTAACGCCTTCCAAAATCTCGAAGTAAATCTCGGATCTCGATCAGAAATAATAGACAATGGAACACCATGCAATCTGACAATCTCTGAAATATACAATCTTGCCAGCTTATCCAAAGTATAATTTACTCGCACAGGAATGAAGTGAGCTGACTTTGTAAGTCTGTCAACAATCACCCAAACTGAATCTTTTTTCAAAGGAGTCATAGGCAAGCCAGTAACAAAATCCATAGTAATACGCTCCCATTTCCATTCAGGAATCTTGATAGGCTGTAACAAACCTGATGGATGTTGATGTTCTGCCTTAACTTGCTGACAAGTCAAACACCTAGCCACAAAGTCAGATATGTCTTTCTTCATACTAGTCCAATAATACCTCTCTCTCAAATTCCGGTACATCTTATCTCCTCCGGGGTGCATAACATATGGACTACTATGAGTCTTAGTAAGGATAGTCTGCCTCAATTCAGCGTCATCAGGCACACAATATCTACCTTTAAAGCATAAAACTTCATCCTGATCAATTGCGTAATCTGTGTTTATCCCCTGCTCTACTTGCTCAAAGATGGAAAGCAAGGAGCTATCAAGGGGCTGCTTAGCTTTGATCTCATCAACCAAGGTCGGCTTAACTTGCAATTCTGCTAACAAAGTGCCATCGTCATATAAATTCATCTTGGCCATTAAAGACCTCAACTCCGATACCGTCTTTCGACTCAAAGCATCTGCTACAATGTTAGCTTTACCAGGGTGGTAATCAATCACGCAATCATAATCTTTTAGAAGCTCTAACCAGTGACGCTGTCTCAAATTAAGTTCCTTCTGGGTCAGAAGATACTTTAAGCTCTTATGATCTGTGAAAATGTAACATTTCTCTCCATAAAGATAGTGTCTCCAAATCTTCAAGGCAAAAATTACTGCTGCCAACTCTAAATCGTGAGTAGGATAATTACTCTCATGCGGCCGCAGCTGACGGGATGCATAAGCCACCACCTTACTTTCCTGCATTAAAACACAACCAAGTCCTGAATGTGAAGCATCACTATACACTGTAAAATCCTTCCCGGACTCCGGTTGAATCAACACCGGTGCTTGAGTCAAAACCGCCTTTAATTTCTCAAAGCTCTCCTGTTGTGCCTCGCCCCAGTCAAACAACACATTCTTCCTTAACAACTTTGTCAAAGGAGAAGCAATGATCGAGAAGCCCTCAACAAAACGTCGATAAT